TTCTTTCTTTCTTTCTTTCTTTCTTTCTTTCTTTCTTTCTTTCTTTCTTCTCTTCTGGAATGTGTTGGGTGAGATTAAAAAAAAAAAAAAAGTCAGACACATGCACCCCTTAGCCTTTCTGAGTCTTCCCTTTTCCCTGGCCCTTGGTCCTTGAACTCAGAAAAGACTAGCCCAGAGGTTCCCAACCTGTGGATCACGACCCCCTTGGAGGATATGAATGACCCTTTCATAAGAGTCACCTAAGACCATTGGAAAACACAGATATCATATTTATGTTACAATTCATAATAGTAGGAAAATTACAGTTATGGAGTAGCAATGAAAATAATTTTATTGTTGGGGGCTCACAACAACATGAGGAGCTGTATTAAAGGGTCACCACATTTGGAAGGTTGAGAATCACTGGACTAATCCATATGACCAGAGTTCCAGGAAGTCCCTTGCTGGTGCTCTGAGTCCACCTTGAGTGCTTCCTGGTAACACAGTCTCCATGGTGCCCACCCACCCAGCACCAAGCCTCTGTCCACGGGCTTAGGGCTACCTGCCCTTCCCCTTCCCACCAGTTGGAGCCCTGATCTACGCACTGTAGAAATTTTGAACCTGGTCTCAAGGGGACTCACACCTTCCCTGTCGCTTTAGTGGACCGAACTGACTGGAAGACCCTTGGGTGAGCCTGGCTCTGCTCACCTCCCTACCGTGCACACTACAAGGGAGGGCTGTGTCTGCCTGGTGTTCATATAGGTCATGACCCTAGGCATTTCTAAGAATCTCTTCGTTGTTGAGGTAGTGGGTGATTCTATGAGAGAGAGAGAGAGAGAGAGAGAGAGAGAGAGAGTCTTGTCTATCTGTCTGTCTGTCTTTCCATGATCCAGGCTCTGTGCCCAGGTAGAAGTTTCAAATCATCACCAGCTTTAGGGAGTTCTGGGGCTTGATACAGCATGGATGAACCTTGAGAGTATTATGCTATATGAAACAGGCTAATCAAAAAGGGACAAATGCTGTTTGGCTCCATTTAAATGAGGCTCCTGGTACAAGGTTAGAGCCACGGGAACAAAGGGTAGAATGGTGGAGCTGGGGATGTGGAAGGAGAATGTGGAGTTTAATGGGTATAGCATTTCATCTGGGGAAGAGGAGCCAGTTCTGGAGATGTATGGTCACAATCAGCATGAAGGTCCTCGATGAAACTGGACATTACACCTAAGGGTAGTGAACGTAGGTGTGCTTTTTACAGATAATAATAATGATAATAAATAAGGTTGAGGATGTAGCTTAGCTGGTAGCTTGTTCCCTAGTACCCACAGAATCCTTGGGTTCAATGCCACTTTGAAACCAGGAGTGGTGGTGCATTTGTAATTCCAGCACTCAGAGATGGGCGCCAAAGAATCAGAAGCTTAAGGTCATCCTCAGTTACATATTCAGTTCAAGGCCATCGTGGACTATGTGTGACCCTGCCTTAGAAACAAAGACAACAATAAACTATGCTGAGCAGTCCTGTATCAGAAGAGTCCTGAAGTCAGGAAGTGAGGCCCCGCAGGAGAATTAACTAGCTCACAGTCACATGGAAATGGGGTCAGCAGAACCCTAAGACCAGTCCCCAGTGAGCCTGGGCCCGGGCAGCTTCCTGTGGAACCCCATTCTCATGTCTCCTGCTCTCTTCCTGTGACCTTGCCCCTCCCTTCATCCCTAGAGGAAATGAGGGCTATGCTTTTATAATCCCCCACTGCTGGATGAGCCCTAGGGAACCAACCAGCCTGGGTTATTTTGGAAGCCACACTCTCCTAGCTCCCCAGTCCCTAGCTGCCTTGTGTCAGTGACCCTAGGGTAGACTCTAGCTATAGCCTCCTTCCTCCAAGGAGTCTTCAGTAATGTCCTGTCAGTATCTGTGGGGACTACAGTCATTTCCCACTTCATTTATTTTAATATTAATTTTTATTACTTATTTTATCTGTATATGTGTGTTTCTCTTCTGAACCTGAGTTCAATTCTCAGGTTCTCACTGACCCTGGAACCATGCTGGCAGCCAGCAAGCTCCAGCAATCTTCCTGTCTCTGCCCTCCCCCACTTCCCGCCCCAGGGCTGGGGTTACAGACTCACAAGGCTATGCCAAGATTTTTGCCTTAGGTGGTAGGGATTTGAACTCAGGTCATCATGCTTTCACAGCAAGTGCTCTTCCCACTGAGCCATCTTCCCAGGCTTTTGTTTTTAATAGACACTTAATCAGGCCCCTGGTCCTGGGGCCAGTGTGCTATTTCAACACCTGTCTGCTGTGTACAATGATTAGGATAATTAGGGTGACACAGTGGGGTGACAGTAGTTAACAATTTCATCTCTGTTTCAACCTACACAAGCTGGTAGACTCTTGGACAATAGGAGGCCCCTGTTCTTTGTCAGACTTCTACAAAGGTATTTCCTTTTAGCATCTTGAAAGGGCCTTTAATCTGCTTTCCCAGGGCCATGGGGACAATGCCGTCCAGTCACCCACTCTGCTTTTGAAATCGCAACGGTAAAAATCAGCTGACTAGCTGCGACCAATAAATGGACTAGATGTGATATCATATGCAAACAATGAATGGTCTAGGTAAACTACAAGCGCAAGAGCAAGAGCAAGGCTCAGGCAGGAAGGATGAGGGAGCCTGGCCACCTTTCTCCTTATCTTATCTCCCTGTATTGCTCATTACCCCTGCCCCAATTATTATAGAAAGACACAGAGTATCAGGCTTATCTATACTTAAAGGAAACTATATTATCTGCTGAGATAATGTAGCTCCATTGGCAGAATGCTTCCCTATCATGCATGGAGGCCCTGAGTTCAATTCTCAGCACTTATATGAACTGGGTGGGCATGCCTGTAGCTCCAGCACTGGGGAGATTGAAGCAGGAGGATCAGTCCAAGGCTATTTTCTCTTGGGCTATTTTGCAACTTTGAGCCATCCAGAGCTACATAAGACCCTGTCTCCACAAGCGAAAGAAGTAAATGTAGCTGTTCAACTACCTTCCTTGCATAAACTCAAGAACGCAATGGGTATGGCCCATCATTGACCCACCCCAAGTGGCCCTGAGGTCTTTAATGACAAGTTTCCCTGACACATTTTACCCACTGTTGGGTTGGTAAGAATTGGGTGAATTTAGCATCTGTGAGCCAAACCTTGTTTTATATGCAGCAGAAAAGGCTAGGGCACACAGAGAGCTTTTCAGAAGAGCTAAACCTTTTCATGGATGGACTCAGTCTTTCTGGGGTTCTCTTAGGCATATTGAGACGAAAACCCTATACTGAATGAAGCAGATGTCAAGTGAGGGGTGTTGAACAGGGTGCCTGGGTCCTGCAGGGAACTAGGGAGGGCTCACAGGTAAGGCTGACCCTCCTGGTTTTATGTCTATGAATGTCCAACATTAGCTGACTTTCTGTCTGTCTGTCTGTCCACCTGCCTTTTCTTATTTAGTTTTAGAAGTTAGAGTTATCCAATTTTTATGTGTGAGAGTTTTACTGGCAAGTGTTTACATGCATGCTTAGTGTCCATGGAAGTGAGTTGAGGGCAGTGGATCCCCTGAAATAGTTACAGATGACTGTGAACCAGGATATGGGTACTGGGAATCTAACGCAGGTCCTCTGCAAGAGCAACAAGTGCTCTTATCCACTGTGCCATCTCTCTAGCCCCTCGACAGCCTTTTTACCCTCTTTCTGTTGGTTCTTCCTGGGTGCCACATGAGCTGGCTGTCTGTTCACTTGACTGTATGTCCTCCTTCAGGATGCCTTCCACGCCTTCCACCAGGATCTCCATTATGTGCGCAAGTTCCTGAAGCCCCTGCTGATTGGAGAGCTAGCCCCAGAAGAGCCCAGCCAGGATGGAAATCAGAATGTGAGAGAGCAGCTGGAGGGCTCCGGGGATATTGCCAGTAGCAGTTCTGTATTACTTGTTCTGTATTACTACTGGGGGCTGCTGGGTAGGGCTGGGTCTGCATCCCTTTTGGGACCACAGTCAAAGGTGAAACCATAGAAATGTCCTGTAGAAGTAAGGATTCGCTAGGAGCTTGCTGTAGGTCTCCGAGTGAGCTTTTTTCCTGCTCCAGACCCAATGAACCCCTTGGCCCCCAGTTCTACATGAGGATGTTTTTGACGCCTAAAGGTTTCCTCTATAGGCTCTGCTTTTCTCTGCTTACCACCCACCCCACACCTTTGGGTCCAGCGAGAGATTTAGCCACCAGCTAGTTCCCCAGTCCACATCCTGGCTGGTGTTCTTGTTTCTCTATCCATCACCTTTACCAAGGAGCCAGCAATGGGAAGTGGGATGTCTTGAGGAACAATGGGAAGTTTCTGGAAACTGTAGCAGTCCCTGCTTCCTCATCTGCTGGACCACTCTCCTGCCACAGGCCCAGCTGATTGAGGACTTCCGAGCCTTGCGCCAGACAGCTGAGGACATGAAGCTGTTTGAAGCTGACACCACTTTCTTTGCACTCCTGCTGGGCCACATCCTGGCTATGGAGTTGCTGGCTTGGCTTATCATCTACCTCTTAGGCCCTGGCTGGGTGTCCAGCATCCTTGCAGCCCTCATCCTGGCCATCTCTCAGGTAACCCTAAGACCATGCAGCAGATATGGGGTCCAGCATATCTCAGGACAGTTTTTTTATGAATGAAAGAAAGAATGGATAAATTGATGGGTAGATGGATGAATGAGAAAGCGAAATGCTAGAGGTCCTTAAAATACAACAGACCCAGAATGTCACAGCCTTACATATGACAATACTTACATAGGTGAAGAAAACAGTAATCATGAAGGTTATGGTTAACACTCTTATGATAAAAGACAGATTAGCAAGGGAAAAAAAAACTTAGAAAGTTTATCTGATAGTAGACTTCTGTGTCACAGGAGCCTTCAGATTAAAGAGCAAAAGACCAGGGTGAACTATTCATATTTTTACATGTAGGTTCTATGAAGCAGAAATAGCCTTAGGGGTCAGACATGAAAGATCTGTGTAATAGGAATAGAACAAGAGGGTGTGAGCCAGTGAAGACTGACTGGCTCAGAAACCTGGCAAGGCCTGTCTGCTCAGATTCTTCTTGACCTCTTTCTAAGGCAGTCTTGGGGTTTGGGGTAGAATGCTTTTTGAAACGGGGGTCTGATGAGCTCTTATCAGATGAGATAGCCCTTCTTCATGGTCAAAAACCAAGACAAAAGGGAAAAATAGAGCAGTGACTTTAGGCCTTGTGAAAGAGGAGCTCTTGTGTCTACCTAAGGCCTGCCTTAGGTAGGGTAGAGAGTTCTAGGTTCTGTCATTTGCCGTGGGGTATGCAGGGAAGCAGGAGACAGGAAGTTTGCTCCTGAAGCCTTTATACAGAGGTATGATTTTCTGAGTCTTGACATCTGTATGCACGCACACCACCAAACTCAGTTCTACTGGTCTAGTTAAAGAGGTGGCTGGTTTCAGTGGAGCATCAGTAGCAGGTGGAGCAGTGGCTGGACTCCTGCCAGAAGGGGCCCGGGCAGCCTCCTCCATCACTCCTGCATTCCTCCCCCGCTCTTGACCTGCCTCTCTCTCCAGGCCCAGTGCTGGTGTCTGCAACATGACCTAGGTCACGCCTCCATCTTCACTAACTCCAGGTGGAACCATGTGGCCCAGCAGTTCGTGATGGGGCAGTTGAAAGTGAGTGTGGAGCGGGGTGGGGGTGGGCATCCAGGCATGGAATTGGGGCTCTATGCCGGGTCTGCTCAGGCATTTGAGTACCAAGTAGGGGCACAGCCTGACTCTACCCCTGAGATTCCTTCTCCCCACAGGGCTTCTCTGCCCACTGGTGGAATTTCCGCCACTTCCAGCACCATGCCAAGCCCAATATCTTCCACAAGGACCCAGATGTGACCGTTGCACCTGTCTTCCTCCTGGGGGAGTCGTCTGTGGAGGTAGGTAGGATGGGACATGGACACTCTCAAGACAGGCCTGCAGCTAAGGGGACATGGTAGGCCCTGAGACCCCATGCTTGCCCCCCAGCTTAGCCTGCATTCTAGCTCTAGCTCCAGTCCTTCTCCCATCTCCTAGCCACCTGGGAATGAGTGGCTCAGTGGCTAGAATCTAGAGTTGCCTTTGACCTTGGCCTCAGCCAGCCCCCTGATCTTGGCCTGGAGAGCTGTTCTCCCTAGCCAACGCCTGTCTCCACAGTATGGCAAGAAGAAACGCAGATACCTGCCCTACAACCATCAGCATCTCTACTTCTTCCTGAGTGAGTACCTACTGGCCCTTCGGGGTGGGAATGTAGCCAGGCCAAGCCTCAGCCTAAGCTGCTTTCCTGAGGGACCCCAGCCACCTTCTGCTCTAGTTGTCCTCACTCTTCCCTACGCTCCCCAAAGTCCCTCTGCCCTCAAGTCAGGGTTTTCTGGAGTCCTAGAGTATTTTCTAATTGCCTCTGCAAACAGGGATAGGGTAGACTTAAAGGCAGGGATGTGTAAGGCTGGCTCCTGACCTACACAAGGGACAAGGGAGGTAGGAGACAGGGCCAAGAGCCAGCCACCAAGGGACTGAGTATGAAGAGAACCTTTTGGGAGCTGTGAGGTCGCTTCAGTGGGGAGGTCAGCCTTTCTATCCTGTGGGGGTTCCTGGAGGAATAGCCTCCTCCTTGCCTCTCCCTACCTACCTGGGTACCCCAGTCCTGTTTCTACAGGCCCTTATGCTCCCTTCTTGCAGTTGGCCCACCGCTGCTCACCTTGGTGAACTTTGAAGTTGAAAATCTGGCATACATGCTGGTGTGCATGCAATGGACGGTGAGTGGGTGTTGCTCAGGACCCCAAGCATATGGCTTTTTGGGAGAGGGTTTCAGGGGATAGTGCTGTTCATCCCTGAGTATGAGTGTGTGTGTGTGTGTGTGTGTGTGTGTGTGTGTGTGTGTGTGTGTGCGCGCATTGATGTGATTCGTGTGTGAGTAAGAAGACAGTATGTACCTTTGGGTATGCTGGGACTTTTCTGTGGAGGAATGCCTCTGGGTTGACTGCCAGGCATCTGGGTTGACTGCCAGGTACAGGCTGCTCTAATGCACCCTTCAGGGCCACCACTATGGTCAGCCCTAGCTGTTGACAAGACAAGGACCCCTGTTCTTTTACCCAGTCACAAAAGCAGAAGCCCAATGAGAGCCAGCGGCCTGTCCAGAGCCCTGAAGCAAATGAAAGAGAGTTGAATGAGCCCAGACCTTCCTCCTGCCTCTCAGTTCCCCTAACCCATGGAGGCCACTCAGCACTGCCTTGGTCTTCCTCGTAGGACTTGCTGTGGGCTGCCAGTTTCTACTTCCGCTTCTTCTTGTCCTACTCTCCCTTCTATGGTGTCACTGGGACACTGCTCCTCTTTGTTGCTGTCAGGTATGGCCAGATTCGGAATGACAGAGAGTGGGGCGGTCTCACATGGGTGGCAGGGGCCTGGCCACAGCCCTTCCTACTCAGCTTGTTGTCCCCTCTGCAGGATGGGTGGCAGTACCACCTCTTCAGGTGGCCGTTAGGATAATCAAACACTAGCAGGGTGGGCAGGCCCTGGGGCTGGCAGGTCTCGGGAAAGAAGGTTGGCTTGGTCATGGCTCTGTGGGTGGCCCTCTTGAGAAAGGTTGACATGGGCTCAGCCTCACTGGAGACACTGCCCTTTGAAATTTCTTTAAATGCCAAAGTGGGAGCAACTAGATAATTCTATAATCCCGTTGTACAGATGGGGAAGTTGGGGCCCTGGTCTGGGTTGAGCTGCACACCAGTCTCCACTCTGAGCTGGATGTGTGGCAGTACTGGAGCCTTCCTCACAGGGTGCTGGAGAGCCACTGGTTTGTGTGGATTACACAGATGAACCACATCCCTAAGGAGATTGGCTATGAAAAGCATCGGGACTGGGCCAGTTCTCAGGTAGGCACTGGGGAGCCTGGTAGAAAGATATGTCGGGTGGGGGGGGTGAGACTGGGAGGGAGCAGGCCCAGGTGAGGCTTCCAGGTAGTAGGGTCAAGGTTCTGAGCCAGCCTCCCTTACTTGTACCCCTCCTGCCCCTGGCAGCTGGCAGCCACCTGCAATGTGGAACCTTCACTCTTCATTGACTGGTTCAGCGGACACCTCAACTTCCAGATTGAGCACCAGTGAGTGTAGCCTGGAGGGCTTGCTGGGTAGGGGGTGAGGCCAGGGCCCAGCCCAAAACTCACCTCTGTGGGGTCCCTGGAAGATGTGGCCTGGGAGGTGAGGAGTGGGTGGCTCCCTCTGACAGCTCCCTACTCAGATCTGGCCTGCCCTCCCAGCCTCTTTCCCACGATGCCAAGGCACAACTACCGCAGGGTGGCCCCCCTGGTCAAGGCATTCTGCGCCAAGCATGGCCTGCACTACGAGGTGAAGCCCTTCCTCACCGCCCTGGTGGATATCATTGGGTAAGGCTGGGCCTGGGCCCCTCATATTGCACACGCAGGCTCACTCCCCAATAGCATCTTGCAAGCGCCTGGCCCTCAGAGGGGGTCCCTTCCGAAGAACTGACTTTCTAGTCCTTTCCTGATCAGCCAATGCTCTCCTTTTCCGGTAGCATGGAAAACTCATGGAGCCCTACAAAAATGGCAGTGAGTCAGACAGGCTGAGAGGTTCCTGCCTCCTAGGAGCCAAAGCCGATGTGCTAGTTGGGGAACCAGAAAACAAGTAGCTGTAGGGCTGGGGAGCTGGCTCAGTAGGTTAAGAGCTTTCCTTGTAATGATAAGGACCCGAGTTCAGACCCCAGCACCCATGTACAAAGCCAGGAATGATGGCTTGTGCCTGTAATCCCAACACTGGGGAGGGAGAAATGAGGGGATCCCTGGGGCTTATTGGCCAGTGAGCTTCAGGTTCAGTGAGAGGCAAGCACACACATTGGAGGTTAGTGCTTAGACAAGGAGTAAATGGCCCTGAAAGCTATCTTAACATCACAAGGATGGAAACCTAGGCAGGAGGGAGCATGCAGAGGTCAGGTAGAGGGTGTGGTATTGTTTATGGCACAGCAGGCACCAGGTGTGGATGTGCCGATGTGTAATTAGAGGCAAGAACTAGGGAGCCAGCTGGTCACTGGGGAGGGGCTACCTGGCTGAAGAGTAATCCAGATAGAGGCCCCGAGGCAGGAGCATGCCAGTCTGTGAGAGAGCCACTAAGTGGAGGAGAGACCACTTGGCTTTCAAATCTTGCAAAGATGCTCAAGATGGGTGCGCACTCTGAGCAAGCGCGGAAGCAGAAAGGGTAAGGCCAAGGTACTTGAACTGTCCAGGCAGGGGTGAGAGGGCTCAGGCCCCACGAGCAGCCTCAGAGGCGGGAACAGAGGTTAGATTCTAGACCTGTAGATGTCTGTACATTGTTCTTTTCCTGGCTTTTATACTTGACTTTGGGATCCTGATGGGGCAGGTTCCATGTCCCATGGCTTTGGGTGGCGGAGTCCAACAGGGAGAACCAGGTGCATGACGTCCAGGCCCACTGAGGCTCACAAGTGGATTTGGCCACCTGCCACTCACCTCCTTATTGCAGTCCAGATTCCACTTTGGTTAATGAATATCTGGCTCCACACAGCTGCATGGCCTGGGGGGATGGGAACTCACGGGGACATCTTCACTCACCACTCCTTCTGGGACTCAGGGGGATACTAATACCTTCCCCGTTGAGTCCCTGATCCCCCATCCCCACCCCTCAGGTCCCTGAAGAAGTCTGGCGACATCTGGCTGGATGCGTATCTTCATCACTGAAGGCAGCACTCTCACAGGTGGCAAAGGGGGTAAGGGCAAGATCGACAGCCCTCCTCACCCCCTGCTGGGGCAGCCTGTCTGCCTGCCTGGTCCTGCTGGCTTTCCTCAGCCCTCAGCATTTTCTGTTCAAGAGCCCTATGGCTGTGGCACACGTCCAACAGGAACAGGGGCGGAGGGAACATACTTAAAGCTAAATGGTGAGCATAGCATGTTTTCCTAGAGCAAGAACTGGAGGAAAACTTGTTATTTTTATATAAAAAGTAACCCAGACACACGGAGGCAAGTGTTGGATTTTCATGGATTGTGGAGCCAAATCTGCTTCAGACTTCCCAGAGGGGGCATCAGAGTGTCGAGATGGGATGGAGTGTAAGGAGTTCCCCTCCACCCTGAGTGCTCTGGGTCCTGGAGGCCACAGCCACTCCAACTCAGCTCCACCTCAGGGCTTGGTTCCTGTTCCTACACTTAGCAGCACCCCGGGGTGAGTTAATCAAGAGTCCAAGGTGGAGGGTCCTATCTGTAGGAGCCGCTGGGTTATGGGATAAGGAAAGCCTATGTATGTGTCTGTGCGGCCTCGTATAGCCCAGTAGTGGGGAGCTCTGCCAGACTTGGCATGGAACAACAGTTGCTGTGCTGGACGATTGGGGACTCGTGTGGCCATCCTGTCCATAAGTCTTGGGATCTGAGGCCTGCTCCTTGAGCAAGAGCTAGCTTCCTACTGGGCCTCAGGGTATTCATCTGGACAATGGGTGCAGTTGACTCTACCTATCAACTTTTGGATGGCTCTAGGGGGAGATTTTGCTTTATTTTGGCTTTCCTCACAAAGCGCTAAGGATGCTCCCTTCTATCCATGCTAAGCACCCCAGTTTGGGAGGGCATTCCTCCACTACTGCTAAAAATTCAAACTCTGTGCTTTAGGCATGCTAGGCAAGTACTGCACTCTTGACCTAAGCCCAAGCTTGGTGAGAAAGGAGAGGGGACAGTGGACTCTTTCACCCACAGCAGACACTCCACAGCTCCACATCTCCTTTAAGGACATCTCAGCAGCTTTAGGCTGTAGCAAACCCAGCAAAAATGCCAAGCTGGGGACTGCTCCACTCTCTGTCCAGTGCCCTCTATACTCTGTCCAGTGCTCCCATTGCTCTAGACTGTGGTGTCTTTGATTCATGGGAAGGGCACAAATATTGTAGTTCTGGTCACACGTTTCCCTGGGCCTGCTCCATGGAACCTGACCGTTCCAAGACCCAGAGCCCCTTAGTGTTCATAGAGACCATGATTAGCACTTCTTCTCCTCTAGGATATCCTCCTCACAGGGTTCCTCCTCCCCTGCCCAGCCCAGCTCAGGGTCAGTGACTCGTGGGTTCCCAGAGCCTGGCCCGAGACCTCAGCCTGCTTTCAAAGAGGATGACAGAGAGACTGGATCTATGGCAACCTTCTTCTTACCCTGGGCCAGGAGAGCAAATGATGGTCTTCCATTTACATTACCTCCCAGGCTGCAGTAGGCAATATAAAACTCCCTGTGACCTCCTTGCCCAGGGAAGTGCCAGCAGGAGCCTCCTGGATAAAGCTAGTGAAGCAAAGGCTCGGTACCCACCTTGATGCTCTCCCTTTCTCTGGGAGTAGGTGGGTGGGGGCAAGTGGAGGGCTAAGTCATACATCCACCAGGGCTTAAGGCTGCTTGACCTCAGGGAAGGAATTCAAGCTCTCAAAGCCAAAGTATCACTTCCAAAGTGATGAGAAATAAAAAGGATGTCCCAGGAAGGCTGTTAGCAAAAGGCTGGGCTCAGAAGTGTGTTTATAAGCCTTGCATGCATGATCCCATGCCCCTGGGCTAACTATTTTGTGCCTTGAGACAAGCCTTTTGCTTTCTCTGGACTTTATTTTTCTCCTCAGGTAAGGGCTGACTATCCCATGAAAGGCACTTCTAAGCCCTGTACACACACCTATAATCTAAGCCACTTAGGCTGAGGTAGGGGGATCACAAATTCAAAGGAAGCCGAGGCAACTTAAAAAAATCCTGTCTCAAGATGATACTAACAAATGTTTTAAGGGTCTGGGTGGGGATGCAACTTAGTGGTAAGATTGTTAGTCCAGCATGTATAGGCCCTGAGTTCAAGCCCTAACACACACATACACACACCAATTCCTGCCTCAAAAGCAAATTTCTTATGCCCAGAGTTTGTCACATTGTCTTTTTGTACCAACTATTCCCATGCAAGAAGTCCCCTCTCCCATTCAAATCTTGATAAACCTGAGTGCCACATAGGTATGGCCAATCTGGGAAGGGCTCTGGAGGGCATTCCTTCCGCATACTGTCTGGCAGCACTTTGTCTCCACACTGCCAAGTGGTCAGAGTTCTGTTGGTGTCTCTGACATGCTTAGGGACAGGACCTGCTCAGGGGAATCACTGAGCCTGCAGCACCACCCAGGGGTACCCACAGGACTGCAATGTGAACTGTGATTCCATGCTTCCCCTAGTGGTGGCCATGGGGAATGTGTTCTCCCTCCAAATCCAGAGTTGTCTAATAAAATACCCTTCAGAGACCCCTGCCTTTAGATCTCTTCCTTCTACCTGGAGCCCATCACTGAGAAGTCATTTTTGTCCCTCCTTCCCCTGTCATCTATGCTATAGCTCTTGGCAGTGGTCACCTCCATTCAGCTGAGTCCTACTTCCCTGCCTGTATGCTTCTTAGAGTAATGATGCAGACATCATAGACCACACTTATCAAGGGGACAGGAAAAGGCCTTGGTGGCACCTTTGAAAGACCCCACTGTCTCCCCTTTAATTATCTACACTACAGACCTGGGCCCAGAAATTAGGCTTCCTGAGGGAAGCCACAGATTGTTTGTTCTTTCAGTCCACCAATAGCTAAGAGTCTCCAGTGGCCAGCTCACATGAACCAGCCTCTGCCTTTGTGGGTGCGGCTGGCAGTGGGGAGATAAAGGCCTTGAGAAAGGATAATATGTAAACATACTGTGTCCTTAAAGACTTCAACTTTCCAAGCCCTGTTTCCTGTTCCTAGGTCTCTTGCACATTATCAGCTCTTGAACCAAATGGTTTGAAGAAAGCCCCAAGAGCCTTCAAAGTTCAAACAAAAGTATTGATTATGGCAGAAGGCAGTAGGGCCATTGCGATGTCCTAAAACACTGGGTGGTTGGGTGTTTCATTTATCTGTGAAGCCAGAAATGTAAAAACCTGTCAATCAAAAGAACATCAGTGTCCAACAAGTCTTTCCCTACAGCCCATCCCCAGGCTGCCAGATGATCTGCTGGGACCCCTGCTGTCTGGTACATCTCACAGCAGCTGTCCACAGAACAGTCCTTTCCAAGTCAGCCTAGCAAAGCCAGCTGAGTCTCAGTGGGCCCAAGCTAGCCCAAGTGGCTGCAACCTTTGCTTCATGCCTTCTTGCCTGCGGCCTTCCTATGGCCTCGAGGGCTCCCATGGGTTTGGCAGGATATGTGTACGAGGAACTAGTCAAGCTGCTAGTCAAGGTGCTAGTCACCTCTGGGCCTCCAGCTATCCACACAGATAGATGCACACAGATGTGCAGGCTGTTCCAGCAGCCCCACCTCTGGCTCAAAGCTGGCAGGGTGTTCTTCAGTAGCACCCCATTCTTTATCATCTCCTCCCCCTGGACTAACCATCCCACTGGCTGCCTCTATCCACGCAGGTACAGGTGTCCTCAGTTCTGGACCTCAGGTAGTGCTCAAGGGGAAGGCAGGAGCCTGGAGTGTGCAAGAGAGATATGGTAAAGTAATTACCACAGGACAAACCAGAAGCTCAAGGACGTGGGCCTAGATTTCCCTGGTACCTTCACTGCTGAGACTCTTCTGCGGTGTTCCCTTCAATTACCCTCCTAAACTCCCCAGATCTCTGGGTGTCCGAAACTGTAGACCTCAGATTCACAGTTGGCAGAGTTTGGCCTGAGGTATTCTGGGTATTGGGGGGCCAGGTCTGGCCCAAGCAGTAGGTGGAAGACAAACAGGTAAGTTCTGAAAATGTATTCAACAGTCTCTGGGATCTCTACCGAGACCAAAGCTCGTGGAGACTGACAGGAGCCAACAGCCCTGGAGTTCTTCTGTCCCAAGCTTCTTTCTTCTTCACTGTGGAAACTATGTCACTAAGGTCCAGTCGATGAGGTGGAAGAGGACTCATCCAGGGTCACTCAGTGGATCAGTGACCATGTCAGCCACTCCAGGCCATGTTTTAGTTACAGTGTACTGACTGGGCATCACCCCCACACAGTGGCTATCTGTCTAGGTTCTCATCACCCGTGGGGATGGACAGCTCTTCTGGAGCTCTCCCCAGCCTGCTGGGAACAGCTACAAGGCCAAAAAAGAACCCCTGGAATGTTGGCCACCCCATGGCTGATGGCTCTTCCCTGACAGATCTGGAGTGATGTGGCCTGCTGAGCCTGTTGAGAGATAGCTGCTCAGAGAGCAGCAGCATGGGTCCAGTCTCACAGGAAACTGGGCGAGTACCTCGGATGCAGATTATTCCAGCTTCCCAGGAAGTCAGACACCCTAGGAGCAGAGCCTCCTGCACATGGACTATAACTAGGGCTGGAGTGATACAGGCCCTCCCTCAGGCTATGGAGATTCACTGAGCATTCCACATGGATGGGCACAGCATCACAAAATACAAGCCTTGGTCTCCAGGACCTTCACTGTCTCTCCTAGAGAAGGCCAGGGCTCTGTTTGCTATTTGCCTTAACAGTTAGGCCTTTCTCCTGTGGGGCAGAGCCTCCCTCACTTCCTCCCAAACCCTGCATCACCTCACCCTCAACATTAGCGTACAAAAGCACTAGCCATCCATCTACGTATAACTGAGCTACAGGCAAGTGAGAATAAAATTACTTTTTTTTTTTTTTATTTCCCAAAAAAGTAGAGGTGGGGAACAATGTGATACAAATGACTATCAGGTCCTTATGGGTTCACTGCCTCCGTGGAGCAACACCAGCTAGGGGGGGTCCTCGAGGGCTTCCCCAGTGCAGGCCCAACCTCTTCCTCCAATTTAAATATTGGTTAGTCCAGTTAGATCTCAGAATGACACAGCATGGGTCCCCTCCTGATAGAGCCAACGTCCCCCCTCCCCCCCGCCCTCACACTTCCCTTATGCCCTCAGCCTCCCCGGCCTCCCCTTCCTCTACACTTCTGCTTGATCCTCGTGGGGCACCCCCAGTAGTCCTTCTGAGATACCCCACCCCACCCTGTTTCTCCTGCCCTCCTGGAAGCAGCAGTCTCAAGCCACAGCTTATACTATGGCCTTGATGTAGGAGCCTAGCTCTACCTGAAGGGACTTAGGGGGACCTGGCAAGGGACATCTGGAAAGGTAGATTGTCCTAAGGCCCAGCCAGCCCTCTATAAAAAAGCATTCTGTAGGAAGTGTTAACAAAACAGCTAAAATGAACAAATAAAATATCTGTAAAAATAAGGAAGAGCCGGTGAGAGGCCAAGTGCTGGCCAGACTGGCAGCTCTATTCTGGGGAGAGCTGCTCAGAAGCTCTCCTACAAGGGCCACAATCTCTAGACCAAGCCTCGGGGGCTGACTAAAGGATTTGAAAAAAGATCTGATCCCTCTAGAGTCTTGGGCCTTGCAACTAAGAAGCATCTGACTGGAGTGGGAGAGGTTAAGGCTCCAGGCTAGCCAGTCTCTCCTTTAACCTGGCCACTGATCCCACACAAGGAAAACCCCCTTTGGTCTCTGGGGTTGGGTGAAATAGAACTTGCACAACCTCCAGGGCCTGGAGCTACAACGGTGGGCATGGGAGGGCTTCTCCTTGGGCCTCAAGGTCTATGCTGGCCCTGGGCAGCTGGAGGGAGACCCTAGGTACCGATCCCAGCCATGGGAAGGACACCCAGAATGCAAAGCTGGTCTTCACCAAGATGACCAGGCCATAAGGCTGACAGGGAGTGTAGAGCTAAATCCTGGACCCTGATCTGTAGACCCCAGAGTGTCTGTGGGACAGAAGGGGGTGGGAACTAGGGCCTGGTGGCTATGCCGCAAGGAGCAGAGTCTTATACCAGGCATCTTTAGGTGCAGAAGTTAGGGGCGGAGACATAATTTGCTACAGCCACCTCTCTCCTGCTCCGTGGGAGAAGGGACTGGGAGGTGGAGGGGACAGGCTAGAGTTGACAAAGGGGGACACCCCATGAGGATAGGCTAAGTGGGGGTGTGGTGGGAGAGAACAGGGATGAAAGACCAATCATGGAGAATGTGAGCCGGCAGACACTTGAGTCTCATGAGAACCCTTCACATCAAAAGCCCTCCCCTCCCTCTGGCCGTCACCCCAACTGTGCCCCTTCCCCCAGGACGCCCCGAGGACTGCTGCTTCATTTATGGAGGTAGGCATCCAGCCACAGCTCCCCAGACTTCTTCAGGGAACTGCAAAGAGAGAGAAAGAGAGGACCAGAGCTCAGGAACCAGGATGGAAAGGAGCCAAGGCTTCCAGACAGTGCAACATGTAGGAAGTCATGCTGGGGATGGCAGGTGCTTCCTCTCAGCTACTGACTAGGCCTTGACACTTACCACAGGGGCTGTGGGCTACTGACTAATGTTCCCCAGGGAAACCCCTGAGAAAGGCAACAGGGTGGACCAGAGGTCGGTAGTCCCCACTGTCAGTGGGTCGAGCCATGTGCCTCTCACCTCCTCAGCATCACCTTATTTCTGGTCCCTTCCGGTGAGTGCCCCAGAGCCCCAGCCCCTGTCAAGCTCACCCCTCACCTTACAATGTCCAGCAGGGCCCTCAGCAGAGGTTTCTCCTGGTACTCGATGCCATGCTTGGCGCAGAGAGACTTCACCAGTGGGGCAACCTTGTGCAAGTTGTGCCGAGGCATGGTGGGGAAGAGGCTGAGGGAGCAGGTGGGCAAAGTGAGTGCAACACAGGAGCCATGCTCTCCCCCTCTCCCTACAGCCCAGGGAGGCAGGCAGGTGTGAGGCCTCTCTGCAACCAGGGCAAGACTATGTGGCTCCTACCAGCTGCTGCAGATGCCACTAGTGGTGTATAGAGGGGCAATTTATGATCAGGGACACTCCAGAAAGCCATACTGATATTGGACAGCCAGAGACAAGAAGGGTCTGTGTTTTTAAAAAAGAAAAAACAAAGAAACAAAGCTGAGTATCATGGCTCACATGTGTGGTCTCATCATTTGGGAGGCCAAGGCAGAAGACTCCTGTAAGTTCAACCCCCAGCTTCAGGGGGTGGGGTTGGGGGATGGTGGTGGAGGAAATGAAAGAAACAGATGGGAGATGAGAAAAAGAATGGTACAAGATAAGACAAAGGCAGAGGCAGTGGGGACAATCCTTTGGCCACCTGTGTACCAGATATGCTATCTAGTTGGGCCTCAGTTTCCCAACCAATAAACAGGGAGCATTATAGGTCTGTGGGATGGTTTTGAAAGCTGTTTGTGTACACAAAGAGGCCACACACAAAGGAACACAGTCCCCAGCATGGCCATGTGGTACAGAGCCTGGACAGCAATGCCTCCAGGACATGCTGGTCTCAGAGCCCCTCTCCTGCTCAGCCGAGCTCTAGGATGGGGCTGTGGTCTCGCCATTGAGAGAAGATAAATTGCATGGCACCCTTAACCTGTGGGTTGGTGGCTGCTGCCCTCCCACTCCTTGTCTCCATCTCCTTTCCCCCAGCATTGCTGGGCTGCACTCACTGGTGCTCAATCTGGAAGTTGAGGTGCCCGCTGAACCAGTCGTTGAAGAAGGACTGCTCCACATTGCAGGTGGCTGCGAGCTGCAGAGGGGACAGGGGATAGGTGGATGGGGGTAAGAAGAAAACCAAAGGACCTAGATTTATCCCACAAAGGTCACCTTACTTAGGGTCTCAGCGTCATTTCTTCACACCTCTCTACCTGAAAGCTTCAACCCTCCCAGATACCCTGAGATTCCTACTACTCCTTCCATTTCTTCTTCTTTTTAAAAACTCATTCTGGCCTGGAACTTCTGATCCTCCTGTCTCTGCCTCCCAAGTACTAAGATTACAGGTATGGGCCACCACATTGGGTTTATTGGGTGCCAGTATTTTATGCATGACAAGCAAGCTACATCCCCAACTTTCCTACCACCCTTTCTTGCTTAACGCTAAGGCTGTCACTAGGCAACAAGTACCCCTAATTAAGGTCCATATAGCCTTGAAACTACTGAGACAGCCAAGTCTGGACGAAGGCATGGACACGGGGCTCCAGGCTTTGCAGGGTCCCCATGACTACCTTTGCCTTTCCTCACCTGGCTGCTGAACCAGTCCCGGTAGTGATCAAGATCAATCTCCATGACGAGGTGGTTCATCTGCGTGACCCACACAAACCAGTGGCTCTCCAGGAACCTAGAAAACAGCACAGCACAGCACAGCACAGCGCTGAAGCCTCAGGGTGTGGGGACGGGCAGCCACACAGACCCAGACCCACTGTGCCTACCCTACCCCCATGGCAGGTACAAGGTTCACATCACAGCCCCATCAAAGACAGTGCTCTCAGAAGTGCAGGGTGAGCCAGCAAAGCCGGGGTACCTGATGAAGTTGAGGAAAACCAGGGCTCCCAAGATGCCATAGAAAGGGATGTAGGTGTAGAAGAAACGCATGTAGTAGCTGATGGCCCAGGCCAAGTCCTGCAGGGCAAACAAGATTAGGCTTAACCTGCTCCACCCTCTTTGGCATGGTGCGCCCGACCACAGAAGCCTGGATACACAATAGCTCACACTGCTTGGCACAGGTGTTCAGAAGAAACCATAGCAGGCTGCTAGGAAGCTGGACACCGGGTCCACAGTTATATACGTGCCCAAACCACCTATTTGCATGGGGTTTGCATGGTGAGTTTCAGGAGAGAAATGGGAGAGAAATGGCTAGCAGGTAGCCAGTGGCTGCAGAGGATTCTATATGAGCCCCCAACATGAGGATGGTCACTGTCCATCCTCAAGCCTTACCCCTGCTCAGGCACCTGGATTTCCTTCCTTTCTGAGGAAGGAAAAGCCAAGGGACACACACCATCCTTCCCTGCATCCTAGACTAGGCCACTTCTCCGGTTGGACTCTCTTCTTGGGCCCTCTCCCCTCCTCACTTTATCTGCCACTTCTTGGGGTTGGTAGCAAGGCCTTGAGCTCGGATAGCTCTCTGGGAAGCCTCTGCCCTCTGTCACAGGCTCACAGGCAGTCATTCTGCAGAGAAATCCATGTCTCTCCATTTCCTCTGCCACTCAAGCTGTGTGTCTTGGCTGGATCACACAAGAGCTTCCCTTTGCTCTCCTGCTGATGGTCCTCATGCATTCAGGTTAACCAATGACCTGTAGCATATCCCAAGTCTGCTACAACACCTCCCATGGAAGCCAAGTGGCCACAGAGCTCCACAGGATCCAGAAGTCCTTTTGCCTCAGCACCCCGACCCAGCTCTCTCATGGTCTTTGCACAGACTGTTTTCAGAGTCAGGAATGCTAATGCCCAGGATATGCTTATGCACAAGATTATTGCATCAAGGACGGGCCTCTCTGAGGCAATGGACAAACCCCCAAAGAGGGGCTGGAGAAACAGTTCAGTGGCTAAGAGCTGTGGCTACTCTCCCAGAAGCCACGTGGAGGCTCACAGCCATCTGTAACTCTTTCCTGGTGACCTGATGCTGTATGCTGGCCTCTGTTGGCACCAGGCAATGCACAAATATACATGCAGGTAAAACACGTACACATGAAATTAAAAACAAAACAAAAGCAAAGATCTTGGAATGACAACAGAATCTGGCACACTGGTGTCCTGGAGAATGAAACCTGGCCCACGGTGATGGTGAAGACATGGCAAATTCCAGAACAATTTAGGGGACAAGGGAGGTTCCATTCTGTGCTTGATTTATTGCAAGGAACTGAGGCTGGCCCCTGGCACCATTCCAGATGGTCAGTGTGGTCAGTCAAGCAGGAGGGCCGGATTAGGAACAGTTGTGACAGCCAGGAAGACAATATGAAGACAACATGCTCAGATCTAGCAAGAAGGCTCTCTTGGTTGAGAAGTGGGCACAGCAAGCTGTAGTCATACTTTGATCATCCTTTCTTTCTTTCTTTTTTTTCTTTTTTCTTTTTTTTTTTTGACAGTCCTGAGTTTGAACTCAGGGTCTCATGCATACTAGGTAAGCACTCTGCCACTGAGCCAAACCCCCAACTTTAATCTATTGCATAAATGCACTGCATAGTATGTATGTGTGTGTATTGTATGTACATACATAGGATGTGGTGTAACACACACACACACACACACACACACACACACACACACACACACACA